TGTACCAGATGACACGGTGATATATATATGACAATTAGAGGAAAAATAGTACAGGCCTTATGGGAGACATTAAGTTTTTATTGTTTTTCGTGGTAAAAAAGGTGTTGAGTACAAAAAGTTATTGGATTACATATTTTTAATATTATGAGAGTTAGATTGTTATATTTTCATGTGATGAAATGGTTTATTAAGGGCTAAAACATCTTTTTTAAGGCACGAAGTACAGTTTAACCTAACATCAAGCTACATTTGTTCACCTCAAAGCAGGCGCAACAGCGACAGCAGCAGCAGCAGCAGCAGCAGCAGCAGAAACGAGTAGCTCATGCAATGTAGGGTTAACTATACTTAGTACCTTCAAAACGCTGTTTTCGGCCTTAATAAACCATTTAATCACATGAAAAAAATAACAACCTAACTCTCATAATGTCAAAAATATGTACTCCAATAATTTTTTGTGTTCAACACCTTTTCCACCACGAAAAAAAAACTCAATTTCTCCCATAAGGCCTCTCATACGTATGTCGCTGTGTCACGTGGTACATGCATATTTTCAACAGACCCAGCCAATAGATATTACATTTTTGAACTTCCCGCAAAACAAATATATCAGCATGCCATACTATTGTACATACATGCATACAAGCTCAGGGGTCTGATCCAGATAGTTCTTGATAACTATATTGTATGTGGTCGCAGTACGGAAAAACCAATATAAGCACGTAAGCATGAGTACGCAATTTAGATTGCTGTATCGCGACCGTTAAATAAATAGTGTAGCAAATCACTCACATAATTCTTCATCGGACTCTAATTACCAAGAGTCAAGATGCAAAACGTCATTAATTCGTTAGCATCATCGTGTTGATGTCGTTTTAATGAAGCAACGATATTTTATTTTTCTTCCACCATTCACGCTTGCCCCACGTTCAATAAACGATAACGAACACCGTTGCACAGTCCTCCAATCGACTGTGGTGCCAATAACAGCTCCTTCAACTTTAGTGTGATCTAGAGCAATTACTGTCTCATACACCCGCATTCCTCAGGCCTCTACGAGATTTTCTCTAATTAATCATCACTTCTGTCAGCAGTATATACGAGTTGCCTGCCTTCGGTCACAATTTTCATTGCAGGTTGTCAGAAACTCGCACATTCCTTACTCTGTATACACGTACACCAACGGAATTATTGACACTGAGAAAAGCGAGCGAGGGAGCTGTAAGCTCACGGGGACAAATGAATTGAAAAGCCGTAAGCGAGATTTATTTCCCGCTAATTTTTCCAGACGTTGCTCCGAGCGAGTGATTCGTTTTAATTTGCGAGAGCTTCTGCGAGTGTACAGATGTCGGCTCTTTTTCTTTTTTTTTTAGCTGTCTGTGATTGTCATTGTTGAAGGAGAGTTTTTTATGGAAAAGAGACTAGCTAGTTGGTTGACACTTTACTCGATGGTATAAGAGATATTTTTCTCGAATACTCGTGGATCCAAGGAAATATTTATATTGTTAATAATAATAATA